GTTTGATAAGCCAGCTTTTACCAGAAAACGTGCCCGGAGTCACCCTACTCATGATATGTAGAGTAGGAAAACAGGAGATGGTCACCACCGAAGGTAGGTTTTGGCCGCTTAAAGTCAAGTTCAAGTCAGCAGATGAGAGAAATTGGATTCTGAAAAATGCTCACAGACTTCGAGGATCTAGAGTGTTCGCGTGAGAAGATCCGGCTCTTGCTGATCGGATCAAAAGACGAGAATTAGAAGCAGAACTAAAATCCAGATTAGTATTTGGAGGGCAAGATCTGATGGTAGCGGGTTTTCACGTGGTGAGTTTTCAGCAGCAAATGATGCCGAAGCCTTTATAGGTAGGACGGAAACTCGTTTAAGCGGTTTCATTGTCTTGTACACAAATGTACATAGTCTTTTAAACAAGTGGACTGAGCTTAGTAAGTATAAGTGTAAGTATAAGCGATGAAAGTCCTGACATCATCGCAATCTCAGAAATTCGGCTCCCTTCTTGGATCAGTGACTGTGAAACACGCAAGGATCGCCCATCTTAGAGGTGGCAGGTCGGCAGGCAAAAGTGGTAGTGTCATCCTTTACGTTAAGAATACTTTAAGTGTAAAAGTCATAGAAGCGGTTGCACATGAAGGTGGGACATAAGTACAGCGACCACATATGATAATCAGCATGCTCCATCAGTTCTGGACATAGTGTTCTCCCACACAGATGATGTATGCTTCATACGGCACCTCGCACGCTTTGAAAAAAGTAGTTGTAGGGGTATGTTACCATGCCGTAACGTTTGACCAACCCTACTTAACTTGATGTTCTCTAGCACCTGCTTAACCAGTGTTTTACCTAACCTGTAAGTACTGATAGCGAAACACAAGTCAAAAAGACTGGTTCGGGAATATGTTTGAAGAAGTAATGTATTTAATTAGAGTAAACGTGATAGTAATGAGTGGGGGAAAAGTTTATTCAACTTATATGGTTGGTATGGATGAGCTAGGGGTTCTGAGTACGTGTTTGCTAACCAGCACTAAGGAAGCTCAAAACGGCGTCGAAGCCTGCTTGGACGCACACTCGTTAAAACAAAACTTAAAACGCCCTAAGCATCCGAAGGCAAGGTAGGGGTTTATTTTGTTAATTTAATTTAATCTATTTATTTTGGCCCTGGTTGTGTTTTGGTGCCAGGAAGGTGCAGTGTACAGTCACTCTGTGATGATCTTCGGACTCACAGCAGACGTCTCGTAACTGCTCGACGCTCCAGCAAGACCCGACATGTCGAAAGCGAATGTGGAAGCTACTAACCAGGTAACAACCTCGGGGGACTGGAATGTCAATCCAGAAGCCCCAGTTGAAGGTGCATGGTGATCCTTTAAAGCAGTTATATGCACGAGCGACCCAGCCGTTCATTCTGTGGACTGTCCCGGGGAGACAGAAACATCGTGTTCCTTGGATAGACTACGAAATTTGAACCTTGCTACGACGAAAGAAAAAGTGTTGGAGTCTTGCCACCCACCTCGGTATATCCAAAGTGGTGAAGCATCACTTCTTTGCCGTCATTAATGACTCACAATGACCTAGGAGTCACGGTGAGTTATGACTTGAAAACCACTGCTCACTGTCGATTGGTAGCAGCCTGGAGTTTTAGGAGTCTTTGGACATTACGTAGAACGTTTACGAAAATAAGTGCTGACATGTTCAGCATCTTACACACATCCTCAGTTAGGTCTAAATTAGAAAGCTGTATACAGGTGGCCAATCCTCGTCTGTAAGGTGACGCAGACCTTCTAGAAGTAGTTCAGAGGGCAACCACTCGCATTATCCCTGCAATGGTTGACCTCACCTATGAAGATCAACCTAAGGAGCAGAACTTTTTCACTTTGTCCTGTCGCAGACATAAGGGAGACCTAATCATGCTTTTCAGGATTCTAAGAAATGACTTCGAACCTAATATATCTTCTCTTTTCCTTCCCAATAGGTCGGAACACCTCAGAGGACATAGTGGGAGACTACAAAAGCAAAAAACGAATATAACCTCCGCAGAGTACTGGTTCTCGCGTCTTGTAACCAACGCCCGTAACCGACTCCCAGAAGAAGTGTCCGCATCATCAGTTGACTCGTTCAAAAGGGGATCGAACAAGCACATAACTCTACTGGAAAAGGATTAATATAGGCTCCGAGCCTCCTGTCCTCAAACAACAGATCTGAATAGTTACGTTTTCCTATTTTCCAAAGTTTTCAACTGTGATGACTTCTTATGAGCTCGTAACTTCTGTGAGGGTCCTATAGAGTGGCTGCAGTGGGCATCTAATCCCATTGTTTTGGATAAAAACATGTGCGCACTCTGAAATGTGCTGAGCTACGTATAATTGATTGTAAAGGTATCGTGGTAAGAGATGTCGTATTGTATTTATGTGTCACCGCAGATCTTTTTGCACAAACAGTTACATTTGGTGTGAATTCTGCTACTGATCTTAAATCTCCAGCATAGTGTCATGTAGTTCCGGAACCTAACTTTGCCACAGATCAACCAACGTCCAGCTAAACTGTTGATAGTGAGCTAAAAATAACTTTTGGTAGCTTCATGCACCATCATTCTTTACAGCCTTCATTGTAGCATTAAGCTGTTGGTGCGATTTCAAACTGGTGACTTGTTATCTGAACAGGTACAGTCTGACTACTAATCCTTGGTAATTTTTGGAAATACTGGAGTGTAGGACGAAGGAAGAACACGGTTCCGTAGCCAGATATGAACTGAATATTTTTCGTATCTTTCCAATGTATTGAAAAATGTGAGCGACCTGAAAGCAAGTAGACATGTGGTAGTTTTTAAACGTTCTTATCGTAAAAATTTGTTACTAGCTGAAATAGGTAACTTTTCAATCATGCGAATTTGCCATTAGTAAACATATTTGCTATATCAAGTTTGGATTGTGATTTCTGTACCTTTTTCGATAGATTTCGCAGATATATCTTGTAGAGGGGCTGATTGCATTTGGCTACCTTTTAAGTCTGCTTATGCATACTGACTTATAATCAGAACCGCTTAATGGACATAGTGCTCCTAGGAAGTCAGCCTGAATGTAGTCAAATCTACTATCTGGTGCTGGAAATTTCCCTGTACAGTAATCCCCAATAACAGAATTACCAAGGACTGAACTATCTCATCTAAAAGACAGAAACCAAGAATTCATAATCGCTGGAATTCTCCGTATTCTTGTCAATCTAATACATAGAAACACTTAACTACAATCATTTACACCACACAGTAGTTGGAAGAGTCATTTACTACCACTTCCGACTTCAGCAATAAGCGGAGAATATTAAAATCACTGAGGAAACAACGGTCTCCTCACGGTTTCAGATTTGACTTGCAGACGAGTGTCAACAAGGACAAAACTTAGGTGCATGGCTTTCCATCTATCGACCCCCAACACTCACTGACAAAATACAGTGCACCATAGTTTTGTATCACTTAGCTTGGTTGCCGTATAGCAAAACTCGCCCGATAGACTTCTATTTGGTCTGGGTGATAAGGGGCTAAATAGTTCATAGGTTGTCCACTGGTAACCAATCAGTATACTTCTTAGCTTCTTCAAATCATAATCTGTTGCCCGCAACTTCTCCATTACTGCAACATCAGTATGATCATTTTCTTAGTTTAGAACATTATATTTACAACCTCGTTTTTGTCCTTAACATATCGTTTGTCAGAAGTGAACTGTTAAATAAACCCTGGATGTTTTATTTCTCGCTATGAACAGTTACCATTTTTCACACTAACTGCTTACATTATATGCTTATGGTCAGTGTGTGCTTTCAAAGGATTATCTTTCAGCACATAAATTACAAATCTGATCGTTAAGTAATCAACCAGTAGTTCACCAAAAATGGTGTCTTGCGACCTTGTAACACTAAAGCCTTTGATTCTCAATGATCATGAACACATTGTTGTAAGACAATACTGACAGCACCATCCGAAGAATGTGTCACGATTGTTTATGATAAGTTTGGATTGGGTTGAGCAATGAGATTTTCAGAACTGAGAGTGTGCTTCTGTTTGTGGAATGTATCAAGAACCAATTGAGTCATGTGGAATTATAGCATATATGTCATATTCTCTTTGTTGGTATATTAAACATTCATCTTTGAACTGAACATTTTTTCAATTGTAGTGGTATAGAAACATGCATCTGCTTTCTACTAGTTTCAGATTTTATTGACTCACCACAAGGGTGACTTTAAAGGCCACCCTGACAACGATCGAAATAAGCAATTAGGTCTCTTCATTTCGGCTGTAAAAGCAGATTTTCATAAAATAGAAAAGTCTAATTAATTTTTTCAGTTGTTGATAGAGTGATTGAGTCATACCAGGGCATGATAGAATAATATAGCTAATCTTCGCAACAGATCTGCCATGGATCAAGCTAATTTGATACAGCTACGTGTAGGACACCAACAAAATATTGAATAACTCCAGGAAAATGTATGGCTTTCGAAATGAATCCGGAAGAGGATACTCTTTAACTATATCTAATCATTGTGGTACCAGCTGAACACCACCAGTCTTTGCTGTGTTTCAGAAACTTCTATGACAGCCTTCCGAATTCATAGTTCTGTATGCTGATTGCGGGATCACATTCACGTATTTGTACAAAAAGTGTTCATCACTGCTACAGATGTTCTGGATTGGATACACCAACTACTAGTAAGACTCCCAGATGTCCTTTGACGAAAAATGAAACATGAAGTTTCCAATCAACAAATCAGTTTTAATGACATGCAAATGATTCCTAACAAACTTCTGGAGTAGTCATAAGAGTTTAAGGTACATCACTGTATTCCATAAGAATTTAGAATGGAGCTCAAAACAGATCAACTTTTGAGGGAATATTCAGTTTCTTTAAGGTGTGTATGAAATCATATATATATATATATATATATATATATATATATATATATATATATATATATATATATATATATATGGAGAGAGAAAGAGAGAGAGAGAGAATAGACTATCTGCCTGCAAATTCGTGGTTACGCAATGTTGTAGTGTTATAGCCCAAACTACTGGGTACTACTTAAAAAAAATACCAATTTCTTGAGTCTCCGTATCCAAGCCCAAACCTACTAAGTTCAGAACATTTAAATTCCAAACAAAGAACACATTCAGGGTGTGATAAAAAAGAGGTAAAAATGTTTTCTACAGATGAAGTATATTAACCAGATTTAGTTACAACTTATAACCGGTCCTAAATGTGAAGGCATGGCGAAACGAAATGAAGTGTTAGATATATTTTTACCACTACTTTGATGAAACCAGACAAAATAAATGCCCGAAGTTTTGGATTACATTAAAAAAGGTAAACAATTAATATACACGATAATATGCTCATCAAAAGGTTGCTTTTCACATGTATTTGTGGGAACCACATGCGTAAATGGTAAAAAACGAACCCTAGAGGGGCGTATAGTATTTAACTTCCGATTATCAAGTTCTTCTCTCACTATCTGCGATCACTTGGAATCTGAACGTCTATGTTTTTATAGGACTGGAGGATTTTTAGTAACAGTACGATATATCACCTGTGTTTCGGTGAGGACTCTTTGCCACCTTGTGTGAGCCCACTTAGTTCTTTCATTTTGGTGTTCATAATTTTCCGTTTGTCAGTAAGAATACCCAAGACAGAATACTGACGATTGTGGTCAACTATTCTGTGCTGACCAAAGTCATATAATAGTTAGTAATATCGAAGGGAATCTATACCGGTGATTTAAAACGAGATGTCAACAGTGAAAAATTGCCTCTAGAATGATATATGGAAACCAAAGGTTAGAATCAAGACTATAGCATTATAAGTATGAACTGCTGATCTGTTTATAGCTTGTAACACTTATACTACGTTTAGATTTTGTTTCTTTTTAGGTTTCACTACAATACTGGCATCGATCAGGAACTCTACTACTGCCTCGGTAGGACTAACAAAACAAACAACTATTTATTTACTGCACGCTAGTGACAGCAGTCGTCACTGATTGGGGACCACTGTTCGGCGAAAGAAAAGAATAAAGTCACACAATAAAACACAACCGCATGCTTTATCTTCATTAATTTGACATCACAACAGATGTTGCTTTTTTGACGTAGTTCTACTCTCGATTTAATCACGGATTTACGACCTACTTCTGTAGAATTTATGTGGCTGTCTTAGCAACTGTTGGGCTGTTAATTGCTCTGTTAATCAATCTTTCCCTTTTATAATGTCGCTTAATCGTTCTGTGTTTTCTCAGCTATTTAATTCAACTGTTTCCTTATCCTTTTACTGATACGTTCAGTAATATCGGGTAATCTATCTATCTCGCTATCAGTATCCTGAAATGCCAATATCTGTTGAATACTATTAAGAAGTCCACGTAACCAGAGAAAATGGAACAAATGGTTGTCTATATTCCTATCTCTCAACTGGCTTCTTATATGCTGCTAAAGTTGTGAAGGTGCCCTTTTAATAAGGTGCATGCTAAATGATAGTTATTCAACGGCTTGTTGATCAGAAAATGAAGTGGCTTTCATCACTTCTTCTTCTAGAAAATCGTACGGTTTTCTGCGTAAGATTTGAAAATTTGCTTAGCAAATTCCTCAGGCAACAGAACCTATGTTCCCAAACTTTTTGCTTTGAGAGAGGATACGACAAACCACAAAGAAGTGTACTGGACAAGTGAACATGAATTTGGGTCAGCAGATATGAAAGAAGACACGAGAATAATTGTAACGGCCACGCATCTTGTATCCAAAAGTTGCCAATTACTAGAGTTCAAAGAGATAAGGAATGATCAAGCGAAATTCAATTATACTAAGAATAATAATACAAACAAGAGAAACACAGTAACGTAAGAAGTGTAACTTCCTGCCAGAAAAAGGTCAGAAATGCTCTTGGTATATATCCGAATAGCATATGGATTTCAGTTATTTGTAATTTCTTTATGGAAATAAAGATATTAGTAACATCAGTGAATCATGAACAAAGAAATTAACGAGAAATTGCTTTACAAGGGCGATATCACTATATTGTGTCTCTAGCTAACTCCCGAAACACTATGGCTCTTCTCAGTATCCCGAAAAATGCTGATACACCTGTGTATTTTTTTCCTTAGTTCTTGGAGTTATATATATACTGTCACCTGTTCTACAGTTATTACTGGTTCTCACTGACAGGACATTTCATCATTATTAAGAAGTCTACTTCAACTTTACAGCCACAAATGTAAATAGCTTCATTGTTGTGTAATTTTTGTTGGAAATCATATTTCCTCCCAAATGCGACCTAAGTAGCTAATTTTGTGCAGTTTGGCAGTTTAAATAATTCACTTCAGTTTGTTAGCATCATTCTTCATAAATAATTCCAATGAATCCTCATTGAACGCTTGGAAGTGTATTTAATAGTTTACATATGAATATACGATACAAAACACAACCAAACGACCGATAACGTTTGAAAAACTTAAAAATGAAGGTAAGCAGTGCATTCATGGAGTATGATATAGTATAACAAACGTGATAGCATCCTGAAAGAACTTTTACTCTTACTGTTGTCAATTAAACAGCAATTTCAAAACAATCAGGAAGATAATTGAATATCGAAGCAGTTAAATCATTATTAGATCATAAAGTCGATATGTCAATATGTACAAAATAAAGTCCTTGCTACAAGTACACAGAGGGAAGTGACTTCACTTTGGTGAATAAGGTTTACTCAAACTGGCAAGAATCATCTTAATAGCCGTAAACATCCCACACTAGTCTTCTTAAAGATTTCGCTGTTTATAGGTGACACTTTTTCAGGTCAGCCTTTTCAGTTCTTTTCTTTAGTGACGATATTAAGGCTCTGAGTGAGTTGTAAAGGCGACTTGAATATTCTGAGGGACAACATAGTGAAATGAATTAACAAATTTAAAACGACTAAAAATCTTGAGAATCTCATTCTAGAAGTCAGCATAGAATAATCTAAAGATTTACTTTGCAGCAAAAGCATCATATCCCTTTTACATGAGAATCAAGCAAGAATTATTCGGCGCTATCATGTTCATTCAAAGAAATTTACCAACCTTGAGAACCTTATAACAAATATATTTTGAAATTCAACTCAATAGCCTTTCATGCACATATTTATCATCATTTATATATATATATATATATATATATATATATATATATATATATATATATATATATATATTCCCCCATCAGTAGTTCATATCAGCAGATACTCCAACAAGTTCAGGTGAAAAATATGCAAAATGGGATTATCAGTTTGCAGATGCTTTGCAAATTTCGCACCGCACCTTGACACTTCTTACAGCTGAGTAGTTTTTCAACTGTGGTGTCACCAAGGTTCTCACTGGAAACTACTCAACAATAATCATAAGATATGATCTGTGACACAAAATTGTCATGGACTAGCAAAATATACGACGATTGAACGAATTGAGTAGTTAGAAGCCATTTAAGCTGATCTGTAAATTTTACCAGTCATATCATAGTGAACAAGTGCTGATTCATTATATCTGCTTTCAAAAGATTTATTTTATCAGGAAACTCATTCGATTATTTTATGGTTAAGAATGACAAACAACCTTTAAATGTTGTCGCTTTCAGTCCAGAAAAGTTTCTTTTGTAATGAGAGTTCTGTAATGCATTTTCGTCGATGTCTATAACATGTTTTATCAATACCTAGAATTTTTTCATTCTTTGCACCTATCTCATTTAAGCTTAGAACTCCATACTGCGGAAGGGTTATTTGACGTGTCAATTAAAAATTATGAAATCACATGATATAATTCGTGGAGTGTATTTCCTCTGTAAACATCACAGTTAATACGTGATAACGCACTTTAGTATCACTAAGTTTGAAGGCTTATTTACCATTATAGCTGGAACTTAATTTCTTTTTGTAATTTCAGAAGTAGTTAGTTGTTAGTTTAAAGATATTTTTCATTGTAAATTAAAGTCAAACGGAGAATTTCTGTCAGTTATGAAGCTACTTTTAAAGGAGTGTTCATCAAGGACTGATATCACTTGGAGGACCATTGAAAAATAAGGGACACTGGGCAGCTGTTTCGTCGTAATATGGGACTCCTAATCAGGACACACTGACGATATCAACCTACCAGGAGTCGAACCCAGGATCTATAGGTCCCACTCAGTCACTGGGTCGGAATTCAGTGGTCCATAGTTTCCTACTTCTGTCAACTATATTTAACATTAGGCGGTTATTACATTTCGCTCTAAAAACTGTCAGTGCTGAAGACTTTGTAATAATTACCTTTAGATCTTCTTCCAGATGTTCATATTCAGTAAAATAATATTCGTTCAATTATCTAATTTTGTGAGATTTATTTTTGTTATAAAAATTGGTAGAATCATCTTCTAGTATTATTGGCTAATATTCAGTCTCATTCTGAAATTAAATGACCTCATATTTCGTGACATAATGTGGTAAATGAAGGAAATCTATGTCTCCAAAGTAAGCTGATGACAAACTCTTACTCATAGTTTACTGACTTGAAGATAGCTTCCTTTATATTCTAAAACCGAGTAAAGAATTAAGCTAGAAACAAATGGCCATTCATTAGTTTTTTATGAGTAGTAGCTACTTCTCTTTAAAATGATAATAACTCATAGTAAATGGAACTTATGAAATAAAGTTGCAGATGAGCATTACCAACTGATATAAATATTTCAATACCCATAATTACTTGAAACACCCTGGGAATAATTCTTTGTATGCAATGATTTCATTCATCTGGTTGTACTAACAGTTATATTTATTGGAGGCCTAAACAAGTTGATTCCGTTAATTATTCATAATGGGGAAGTTTGATATTAATTGCTTCGCTGATTAAAACACCAGTTCACCTACAGAGGTCTGACAGCCATATGGTATCATCAGTCCATGAACAATATATGTGATTCTTTGCCTATTGCGCAAACCTGCATCTGGTTGTTGAGTTACATTTCCTACGTTTCAGCTACTTAGCCGGACGTTTAAGGATCTTATGAGTGCTCGGAAAACTGAAGGAAATCCTCAATTATAAAAATTTACTACACCAATCACCCGGAAATTCCATAACTAATAACGCTTGTTAGGTGTGAATTAAAGATTTTCGTGATGCCCAAGACTAAAGTTGTAAGTATATTAAAAGTAGAAAAGAAACATGTCAAGAGTATATGAGTACACCAGGTGAATATATGGATGGCGTAAAGTATTCATGAAGGCTTTAAATAACATGGCAGTCTGAAAACTCGTTCACAGCTATGTACTGTCTTTAAGTATGTGTCCGATTAATTAAAATAACCTATACCTGCGAAGGCAGTTCAATTAATGGTTTTGTAGAAGTTTCTTCGAGTTTGCTTGTGAATGCATCTCTGTATGTACATATGTTACTTCACTGGAATAACACATCTGATAAACTTAAGTAGCAATAACCAATGGCCATCATCGAAATTTCAAAAGACATATTTCTTCTTACCTGAAACTCGTCAACTGAATGGACCTGTCTCTCAATGAGTGTTTTTTTTATATATTGAAACTTTGATCCAGAAATCGCTGTTTCAAATCTCTCAGCTTTTTTCATCAATCCACTCAGTTACGAAAGCTACTATGTGTGTAAAGGGTATATTTCAGTCTTATAATTTCCTGTGTTCTATGTATTTCAACCAGCTTAATTGGCCACTGTTGGCTAACCTGTGTAAATACCTTGGGTTTAATTTATTTTCAACTTAATATTTATTTAATAAGAATTAGTATGAAATTGTCATTAATTCTATAAGTATAAATAAAAGGAGGCTTTATGCCAGTGATGCCTAATTATGTTGTTCCAGCAAACAAATTAACAACGGGAAATAACGAACTGCGATATTAAATTATGTTACTTATTTAATTTAGATGAATGATAGTTTAGTGCATTATACCTTTCATTTAACTACTTTAGTAAAGTGCTTTATTTAATCATTTTAGTAGAATGTAAAGAGATCTTTTCTTCTCTCACATTTTTTTTACGTGATATAAAAACGTTTACTAATAGTTTGCATGAATAAGCTTACTGAGAATTTCAACAACCACTTGATTTATTTCATAGACTATACAGAAGTGTTCTTTATTTAAGCCTGACAATTTTAACAGCAGTAGTAACGATAGTAGTAGTAGTAGTTGTTGTTGTTGTTGTTATTGTTGCTGTTATCGTAGTAACAGCGATACTAACAGTACTGTTGATAGTTCCGTTATGTTGCTTTTCCATAATGAAAAGAAAAAGGAGATAGAACTGAGCGCCAGAACACCACTTCAAACTCATTTAGTCGTTTGTGACTTTGTAATATAACTTCATTATTTGCTTAGTAAGCTTTATATGCAAGGAAATTAGTATATACATAATCAAACATACAAATATTACTCTTTGGATATTTATGTATGCAGACAAGTGGATTGGACATTCAACAGAATTTTTGTCGGTTCAACTAACAAAATGCTTTAACGGTGTTTGTTATTTAGTTGTTTTTTTTCTCAAAAATCATTTAGATCAATTCATACTTAGAATGATTTTATGATCCACTTAAATTGGTTGTCGCCTGAGGTATGTTGAGTTCTTTCGACCGTGTTTAAGTGTATTGTATGCATGAGCGTATTCATCTATTTATATGCATATATGGACGCTTAGATGGATAAGCTTCTTAATCAGCTACCCTGTATCCATACTTTAGGAAGTAAATAAATTCACACACATGCCTACCATACCACCCTCTTGCCTTTTTTGTCAATTGAATGTAAATGAAATCATACTTTGAAGTAGAGATTTTGAGATGACGGAATTGTACAAAGTGTTAAAATTTTGCATACATTTATACCACTTAATTTCCACACCAATTCGTCTACAGAAATTATGTTTCTTGCTTGAACTTGATAAAGTTTGAATACAGGTAAAACTCGATAACTACTTCTTTAGATTTGACTTATATACACGTCTAGTATGTACAGAGATTTGGATTATTTGGGATAATACTGAATCACTGACCGTTGATTAGCTTAAATAGAGATAACGAAAAAAAGGAAGTGGTTTTGATTTTATCGAAGGCATATATATAATCAGTTTAAAAAAGCTCTGTCTTATTACTATTTATTAATATACTTGAAATTCTCCGTTGTTTTATTGGATGGAACTGTTCGACCTCTATTGGCATATGGTCTCCTATGCGGATGCCTCGATATTGCCTGAATGTCAGTTATGGTAATTTAGTTAGTTGTGGCTAGCACAGGAATCCAGCTGACGAGTCCAAAGTAGGACGAAATGTGAGCTTTGTTTTGTGCTCAAACAACAATTCATGGTTTTCAGGGTCAATTCTCATCGTATAAGTAAAACAGAAGGAAACAGTTACACTGTGTTCTAAGTGGATTTTGGTTGAAAGCCGCTGATCACTGAAAATTCAGTTCTGTATGTCACTGTTAATATGCTAAGCAGTGGTTCTGACAGTTAATAATTGCATACACTGCTAAATCCGTGACTACTATCTGACGCTTTACGGTTTTCTTTCATATTCTAAGTAATGGAAGCAATCTTCAGAATACTTAGTATTGGCTAGACTAGTTGGTTTGGCTAGTATCCATCTGTTTTTTCAATGTTTTTTTTGTGTTTTAATGTTGTTTGTGGTATTGCAGTACCTGTTAGCTAACGTCACTTAGATCTTAGTGGGTATACAGTAACAGCCTCAACTATTATACTTACTGGTCGTATCCTGTAACCATTAAGGTTCTCCAATTGGGTTTTTATAAATAACACCGTTCACACCTTCATTTTACTGTTTAGTAAATAAGAAAGTTAAATCGAATGTAATTTCGTCATAGTGGAGATATCTGGTGGTATGATGATATTTCTTCACATAGTATATTTTTTTCAAATTCCATACTTTGTTCTGTCCTAACGTTACCGTCCATGAAGTAGGGAACTATTGTCATCGGTTGGTCAGCTGTGTAAAATGTAACAAAAGTTATATTATGTTCTCTGAGCTGGGTTGTTTGATCGCAAAATCGTGAAGCATTCCATATTTTTCACGATTAAACAACCCAGATCAACCTCACCTGGTTAACTAGTTTACTAGTTACTAGC